TAGAGGTGCTACTGGTGCTGGAGGTGCTGGACCTACTAGTCCTGGAGGTACAGGTGGTGCTGGAGATGCTGGAGGTGCTGTTGGTGCTGGAGGCGCTAGAGCTGCTAGTCCTGGAGGTGCTCGTACTGGAGGTGCTGGAGCTGCCGGAGCTGGTGGTGCTGTTCGTGCTGGAGGTGCTACTGGAGCTGCTGGTAGTGGAGGTACTAGAGGTACTGCTGGTGCTGGAGGTGCTGGAGCTACTGGAGCAGGTGGTGCTGCTGGTGCTGGAGGTGCTAATGGAGCTACTGGCACTGGAGGTGCTGGAGGTACAACTGGTGCTAGAGGTCGTGGCGCTGCCGGAGCTCGTGGTGCTGGAGGAGCTGGAGCTGCAGGTATTGCCCCGCGCTGAGTGTTTTTCTACCCGCAGCCGCTGTCGACCCCACCACCGCCTGACTCGGTCCTTTGCCAAGTTCTTAGTCTCCCGTCTTCCACTGGCCTCACTCCACCTCTCCTGTGTCCACTCACAGACCAGTCTCAGCCTCAGCTACTGCCTGGCTCCTCATTGCCTGCTCTTGCTCCTCACACTGAGGTGACTGAGTCCCTAACTGAGTGTCGTGAGCCTGAGACTCGTGCTTCCACACCTGTTTGTGCTCGTCGTGTCACTTGTCCTCGTCCTCGTGCCGTCCCAGGCACTCACGGTATGGCACTTGGTCCTTCCTCTGTTCCACAGCGTGTTGTCCTGCCTGAGCCTCCCGCGTCCTCTCTCCTGCACGTTCCTGACCCTGAGTCTGACCTTGCTCGTGCTGCCAGTTCTTGTGTCACTCGTCTCCTTGCTACTATCATCACTGACCCTAACCTTGAGTCTAGTGCAGCGTTCGCCCTAGACACCGAGCTAGTCCACTTTGCAGCTAGGAGTCGTCTCGACTACGTCGCGATTCTTGTCACTAAGTCTGAGTCTGTCTGTCCTCCGTCCAACGGGGGTGAGCCTGCCCTTAGCAGTGACGTACTTGAGGACAGACAATTTGAGCTTGAGTGTCTTGCGGTCGCTTTACCTCGTTTCGCATCCATGCTGCTTTGCCCTGAGGGAGACCTGGATGCACTTGACATCCCTACCCCGCACTCTTACGCTTGAGGCAATCGCGGGTGAGTACTCCTCTCAGTGGGAGATACCCATGGGCGTAGACATGGCTTCCTGGAAGTCCACAGGCACCTACGTCGACGAGGTTCCTCCTCCTAGGGCGAACATAGTTGATGGCATGTGGATTTTCAGAGTGAAGCGGCCGCCGGGTTCTCCGCCTGCCTTCAAGGTGCGTTACGTTGCTCGAGGCTTCAGTCAGTGACAGGGGGTCGAATTCTTCCAAACCTTCTCCCCCACCCCGAAGATGACTACTCTTCGGGTGCTACTGCACGTTGCAGCACGGCGTGACTACGAGCTGCACTCCCTCGACTTCTCCAAAGCTTTCGTGCAGGGCAGCCTTCACGAGGAGATCTGGCTGCGCCGCCCACCCGGCTTCACTGGGTCGTTTCCTGCGGGTACCCAGTGGAGCCTCCGGCGGCCAGTCTACGGTCTCCGCCAGGCGCCCCAAGAGTGGCACGACACACTGAGGACCACACTTGCGGCTCTTGGGTTTGCTCCTTCCTCTGCTGACCCGTCGTTGTTTCTACGCACCGACACTACCCTGCCGGCGTTCTACGTTCCCGTGTACGTCGACGACTTGGTTTTTGATACAGCTGACACTGAGACGCTTGCCCTAGTGAAGGCGGAGCTGCAAGAGATACACAACTGCACTGACCTGAATGACCTGCGTAGCTATCTTGGCTTGCATATCACCCGGGACAGAGCACGGCGCACCATCACCCTAACTCAGTCACACATGGTGCACCAGGTCCTTCAGTGCTTCGCCTTCCAGTTCTCCTCGCCACAGCCCACTCCTCTGTCTACCGGCCACTCGCTCTCAGCTCCACCTTCGGACGAGTCCGTAGAGCCGAGTGGTCCGTACCCAGAGCTTGTGGGTTGCCTCATGTACTTGATGACGTGCACACGACCTGACCTCGCGTACCCTCGCAGCCTCTTCGCTCGCTACGTGGCTCCCGGTAGAAACCGAAAGGTGCACTGGGATGCTACGAAGAGAGTACTGCGTTACTTGTGCATAACATCAGGCATGGGGCTCATGCTTGGGGGACAGGGTTCAGTTGTACTTATAGGACACTCCGACGCTTCTTGGGCTGACGACCAGGCGACTCAGCGTTCGTCACAGGGTTACACCTTCGGTCCTGGCTCGGGTTCTGTCTCGTGGAGGTCCACTCGTTCTCCTTTTGTGCTTGGTTCCAGCTGTGAGGCCGAGATATACGCTGAGGCCATGGCTGCACAGGAGCTACGCTGGCTGACCTAGCTGCTGATCGACTTGGGGGAGCGGCCTCGTTCTCCTCCAGTTCTGTACGTCGATAACAAGGCAATGCTTGCCTTGTGTCACGAGCCGAGACTGGAGCACACAACGAAGCGCATTGCTCTTCGCTACTTCCTTGCGCGTGAGCTGCAGCAGCGTCGTCAGCTCCGCCTTTCCTACGTGGCCTCTCAAGCCAACACTGCTGATGTGTTCACCAAGGCCCTTGGGTCTGGTGATCATCAGCGTTTCTGCACTGCTCTTGGGCTTGTGCCCACTCTGCCTCACCTGCTGGTTGCTTGACTTGCTCTTGTTGTACACTGATATATATCTTTATACCTGCTTATTTACTCTTGCTAGGTTGTGATCAGTATACTGCCTTGCTATTATAACTCTGCATGTGAACTAGCCTTATGGCCGCTTGCTTGTGCTCAGATTGTGTGGTGTCCTTGAGATCCACCCTGAGCTTTGCTTTGCTTTGTTATCTTGCTTGACTGGTCTTGTGACCGTCTGTTGTGTTTGCTATCTCCCACTTAGCCTTTGGGGGTGTTTCAAACTATATGTTTGTGTTCTCTCTAGGCTATAGTGGGTTTGCCTACAAGGGGTACAACAACATGGGGTTAGTACTTGTACCCAACTCATTCTTAGTTCATTCATTCCTACACAGTGATTGAGGCACATCCCCCGTGCACCCGATTGCGAAGTTGGCTTCGTCCAAGCGAGGGCGGGGCCACATTCCTGTCAAACTATGTTTGTAGTAATATGTATATGCTGTATTGAGATGCATGTGTTAGAATATATCTGTAACTGCCTGTAGCTGTAGTTAGTGTAGTTATTATAAACTTTGTTAGGTGGTGCACCTTCTTTGCTCATTTGCTATATGTTCTTGCAAACCTATAGTGAATTCATTCCATTCTCGACTCTCTCCTTGGCACAAACTCCCTCGACTCCCTTGGCCTAGGCTACTAAGCCTAGGCCCTCACTTAAACCTAACTACCACTTGTGCCACTATCTTGATAGCATGTTAGGGGGTACAAGAACTCTCTTGACACTTTGCTCGTATCCCCCTCGCCCCCCTTGACCTAATAATTCATTCCCAACTTAGTCTCTAAGCTACTTAGTACTTGACACGGTGTCAACGCGAAGGTCTCGAGTTTAAATCCCCATGTGTGCACATGCTGGCGCTGCCGTTGCGATGTGTCCTAGGGCATCCCTGCACGGGGGGTTTGTATGAAAACCAGCACTGGGGATGCCCGATTGATCCTAGGGAATGGTTATATGCTCGCTGGCTTGGGGGTTATGGGCGCATTGACCCGCTACTTAACAAGCCCTTTTATCCCATCGATATAGTGACTGAGATTCTGACAATTACCGTCAACAATGAGCACGTGCGAACCCCCTTCTGGCAGAGCTTGCCGGCATGAGAGTTTGAACTTGGAGCCTCATTATTTAAAAGTGCCCCATTCTACTGACTCTGCCACTTCAGCATACGACATGGGGAGGCATCAACCCTAAACACCAGGCGGGCTCACGTGTTTAAGGTTGCTCCCTCCCGAAAATGTGTCGCAATCCCCTAGGGTTCTATTTTTTCCGGAAACCCTAAACCTCGAGCATAGGTGGCACATACTTTCTCGAAAAGATTCGAGCACTTTCTTCTAGGTGAACTAATTCCTCTATGCCAAGTACCGTATGATGACCTCCATGTAGTCCACTTATTTCAAGCATAAGTGTATCGGGGATTTTCTGTCATTGAGGGCCAAGCAAACATTTTCGTACGATGGTTATTCAGCTGCCCCCTCGCCATTGGCCCCACGTGAGATGGATGGTGTGCGAATTCTGAGTTACTTGGCAGTGTGCCTTTACACCACAAGACTCTACCCAACGGGGCACTTCTCTCCCTCCCTTGCTGACGTGTCAATTGCTGAATTCGTTGCGATGAGTATCCAGTCACAAACCTCGTTATAACGCGCCTGCCCGAACCACCCGCAATTCTCACCAATGCAAGGCTCACCTTACTCCTGAAGCTCTAGCCAATCCATATAGGCTGCCCAAGATGCAGCATGTGACCACACTGCTGCCCTGATAAATAACTTCAGTTGTCCAATCTCCCAAATCCCCTCCTGCCCTCCTGGCCGATTCGACTGACCTCGGCTTTTGCAAAACTTCGATTCCTGCTCCACACGCCTCCCTGTCTCGCCCGTCCTGTCCCTTGGTTACACCGAAATCTTCCCAACCAATCGGCTTCTCCCGCGTTCCCTCAACCGCGCTGCGCTCCGCTGGCTTCCAAAGCGCACCCCGCCCTCGTGCACACCAACCACACCAGCGCGCAGGCGCAGACGGTCGATGCGCTGATTTCCGCTCGGCTCCGCCCGTTCGAGTTGCTCCTCCGCCCACCAAGCTTCTCCGCTCGCTTCTTTTTTCCACCACGAACACAAGCCTACTCCATGCTCCGCGAACGATTCTGTGACTGGAAGGCGAGTTGAAGAACACTCTTGTGTACTGAGAGCATACGCAGTGCTAGTGCAAACAGACACTCGTTGACTGTCAGAATACCGAGTAAGGCTAGTTGGAGCATCGACGGTACCTGGTAATCCTGAGCTCGCAAAAATCAAGAAACAGAACTGACGCCATTGTGCAATGGCTGCCTCTCTAGCGTCTCGCTCTGGTGCCGGTGCCGTCTACTCCACCGCCTTGGCAGCAGTGGCCGTCGGTCAAGAACCGTCGGCCGTCTGCTCGCAGCCGTCAGTCCGAAAGACGCTCGGCTTTCCATGCGTTCGCCAAATCTCGAATTTCGTTGAGAGCCGAGGTCTTGCGGATAGAGGAAGCAACACACAGAGACGAATTGGCCAGGTAACGGACGTCTGTTTTCCGTTAATATTTGACGGTTTTCTTACGCACACACTGCGGTTTCTTGCACGTGCTCAAGCTGAAAACGCTTCACTCTAGATTATCATTGAGAACCTTTATCCTACGTAAGCTCGGGCTCTTAAAAAACGACTGCCTCGCAAAGCATTTCCGTTGTTTAGCATTGTCAGCGAAGGCTCACCTGGTCTGCATCTTTCCCTCCTCTCTCTCCTCCTTCCCTCTCCTTCTCCCGCCCTGTCTCCCTCTCTTCCATCATCTCGGCGTGAGTTGTTCCTCCTGCCTCCCTCCACGCGTAGTACCGCCTTGCCACATCTCCCCCCCTTCCTAGTGCCTATAAAGTCTTTGTCCATCGCATCGTTTTCCAGTCCAATTGCCAATTGCCAAACTCGAACTCGTATTGAAGACGCGTGGCTGTTAAAAAGGTTCTTTGCACCTAACAGCTTGAGCGCCCGTAACACTTCTCCGTTAGCTCGTTTGACTTTAATCAACGTCACAATCGCTTGCTTCTCCTGATTTCTCCTTTCCCCGCGCTTTCCCCATTTTCGTCTCTTACGCTTCGTTATGTGTCACACAGCAATCGTCTCTGCTTTTGGCACAAACCCGAAGGTCGTTTACAGCTCGCCAAGCCGCCTCGTTAACGTGCCGCGCCAGCAGCGGGCTCGAGGCCGTAGCGGATCCAGTTTCCGCGCAAGGGGAGGCGACACCTGCCGCGCAAAGCGCGCCCGCTTCCCCTGCTGCTGACATTCACACTGCCGCAAATGGCGCAGCTAACGGCGCGGCGTCGGTTAACGGGTCGGCTCTTAACGGGTCCGCGTTGGGAGCGGCCATCAACGGAGCTACTAATGGCTCCGTGAACGGCTCGGCAAATGGTTCGGTGAACGGCTCGGCAAATGGCTCGGTGAACGGCTCAGCAAATGGCTCGATGAACGGTTCGGCAAATGGCTTGGTGAACGGCTCGGTGAACGGCTCGGTGAACGGCTCGGTGAACGGCTCGGCAAACGGCTCGGCAAACGGTTCGGTGAACGGCTCGGCAAACGGGAACGGGTCGAGTGCGGTGGGCGTGCAGTCACTGGAAGTGCCCCTGGGCGATATCGACGAGGAGGTATCCGGTGCCGCTGACGCCGCTAGCCTTGGCGTTGTCACGGAGAGTGCCGACGGAGAGGCGGCGGCGGAGGATGCGAGCTACTACGAGTGAGTGGGTTGGTGGCGTGGGTGGCGTGTGATTGGCATGGCTGGGCGGGTGGGTGAGTGGCGTGGCTGGCGGGTGACTGGCGTGGCTGGCGGGTGGGTGATTGGCGTGGGTGGCGGGTGGGTTATTGGCGTGGGTGGCGGGTGGGTTATTGGCGTGGCTGGGGGGTGGGTGATTGGCATGAGTGGCGGGTGCCGTGCTATAGGTTAATTGGCGTCGTGCGCCGTGCGGCGTGCGGCGTGCGGCGCCCTCAATTTCCTGCTGAAAGACTATTTGCTGCCCTTCTCTCCCGTCACCCCGCTCCGGAATCCACACATCGTTCCCCTCCCCTGCGCCACACCCTCTCGCGCACCCTCTCGCACTTGTCGCTTTCCTCTTACCAACACAGTTGATATCCCTCCCATACATGGCCCACCTTCATCCCCATCTCCCCCCTCGCCCTCCTCCCCAATCCCCTTTTCTCTCTTCCTCCCAACCGCTTCGTCAACCCTCTCTCCATCTTCCTCCCCCTCCCTCCCCCTTCCCCTCTCCCCCTCCCCTCTCTCCCTCCCCTCCACGTCTCCCCTCGTAACCCCCCAGGCCCGCATTCCAGCTGCTCGCAGCTTCCAAGATGATTCCTCACCCCGCTAAGGTACCACCCCGCGCTTCCCGCTCTTACTCTCTCTTCCCTCGCTTCCCCTCTCTCCTCCGTGCTTCCCCGCTTCCTCTCTCTCCTCCCTCTCCCCTCCCCTTCTCCTTCCCCTCTCCCGTCGTACCCCGCTCTCCCCTCGCTCCCCTCGTTCCCCGTTCTCCCTTAATTCCTATAATCCCGCGGCATCCCCCCTCCACGTCCGTCTTCCCGTCTCTTCCTTTCTTCCGACTTATCTCTATCTCCCCCCTACTCTTTTGTCCCGTGCTCGCTTTCTCCCTTTGTCCGCTTCTCGTTTACTCCCTCCCCCCTCTTTTCCCCGCGCGCGTTTCTCGCGCCTACCCGGTTTCGAAACAAGACCGTCTCCTTGCACCCGCGCGCACCATCTGTGTCTGCTCGCCTTCCCTTAATTGTTTCCCGGCATTTACCATGCTTGTTCCTCTCTTCATCCCTCCGTCTTTTTCGCGTTCCGCATCCCTCAATGCATCCCCTTCTCTCCCATCCCCTCTCCCTTCCCTCCGCCGCCTCATGTCTTCCCCTTCCCCTCTCGCCCATCCCCACGCTCCCCCCCATTCCCCCGCCCCATCCCCTTTCCCCTCCCCTGCCCCCTCCGCCTCCCCTTCCGCCGCTCCTCCGCAGGTGGAGAAGGGCGGGGAGGACGCGGTGCTGGTCAGCGACGTGGGCGCGGGGGTACTTGCGGTCACGGACGGCGTGGGCGGGTGAGTGCGAGCGAGGGGAGAGAAGGGGGAACGGGGGCTTGTGGGGGAAGGGGGATTTTCGAGGGGAAGGATTAATTTGTTGGCGGAAGAGGGGGGCAGGGGGTGAAAGGAGTGAAAGGAGGCAGAAGAGGGGTTGCTGTAAGGCAGACAGAGAGAGTAGTTGCATAAAGAGTTGATTTTGGAGATTACTAAAAGTGGATCATATAGCTGTTGAGGGAGTTCGGTTGAGCCTGATGTGGGTGGGTACGTGTTGTGTAAGGACCAGGGCGGTGCGAGCGGCGGTGGTAGGGTTATTGGTGAGGTGAGGGTGGGAAAGGGGCAAATGAGGTCACTGTTGTGTTGGGTGGACTGCGGGAAGGGACGTGAGCGGCAACGCAAGAGCAAATTAGGGTGGCGAGGCGCGAGCAGTAGCAGTAGCAGTTGTAGTGCCCGAGAGTGATTGTGGGGGAGGAAAAAGAAGCCGACAGGCATAACTCGAGCGTGCAACCAAATTGGTTTCATTTAGACCTCAATAATTGCGGTAGGTGAGGTGATTCCGGTGATTGCTATGGTTGTTGGGTGATTTCCTTTCACCCACACTCCCCCTCCTTCTCTCCCCTTCACTGGAGCTCCAACGCTTTACTATGAGTTCGTTGATTTCCTTCCCCCCTAATGTAGACCTCCTTCTGGCTTTCCTCTCCCTCCTCTTCTCCTCTCCCTCTTCGTCTCCTCTCCCTCCTCGTCTGCTCTTCTCTGCTTTGCAGGTGGGCGGAGGGCGGTGTGGATCCACCGCTCTACTCCAACGAACGAGTTCGTTTCTGAGGCGCCTCAAAAGGAGACCTCCCATCTGTCTTTCCTCCCCACTCCCCCTCCTACTGTCCGCCTTGCAGGTGGGCGGAGGATGGTGTGGATCCAGCACTCTACTCCAACGAGTTCGTGGGGCACCTGAACGACATCATTGAGAACGCGCAGGACCAGGTGCACATGCCCGCGTGCCTAGTACACATGCCCGCGCGCCTAGTACACATGCCCGCGCGCCTAGTACACATGCTTACGCAAGTCCCGAATCTCCCCCCACTCCCTATCCCTACCCTCCCCTCTCCCCTCTCTCCTCTCCCCGCCCCCGCCCCCGCCCCCGCCCCCGCCCCCCATCTGTTTTTATCCTTCGTTTGTGTTTTCCTTTGTTTCTCGGATGAACGCCTCACTTATTGCTGCCTGTGCGTTGATGTGATACCCACGTGTGTGCATGGGTGGCTGGCTGGCTGGGTGCATGCATGCAGGACGACTTGGAGCCCAGGGAGCTTTTGAGAAAAGCCCACAGCATGACCAAGTCTCCAGGAGCCGCCACTGCGTAAGTGCCCTGCCCTTAGTGCTCCCTCCCCTTCCCCCTGTCTTTCCTCTGTCTTTCTCCTGCCTTTCCCCTGTCTTTCCTCTGTCTTTCCCCTGCCTTTCCCCTGTCTTTCCCCTGCCTTTCCCCTGTCTTTCCCCTCATAGCGTCCGTATATGCTCCTCTCAGGTCTTTTTGTAGCCTCCCCCACCCACCTCTCGCAGCGTAGTTAACTACGCCTCCCGGTTCCCCCCACCAGGATCTGCTTGCTGTTTGGAGTCTTTCCCTTGGCTGCTGTTCTTGACTGTCACCCTTCTGCCCTCCCTTCCCTTGGTGTTTCCTTGACGTTTCACTGATGATTCCTTGCACAGTGGTACGTTGAACGAGGCCTTACTCTCGTGACTCTCTCTACACACTCTTCCCCTCTCCCTCTCTCCCGCTCCTCTCCATCCTTCCTCCCTCCTCACATCCCACCCTTCGCCTCCTCCCCCTGCTCCCATCCCCCCTCCCCCGTGCGTCCGTCACAGAGTGGTGGCGGGGTTTGACTTGACGGCAAGTACAGTGTGCTGAACGTGGCGTCGCTGGGCGATGCATGCAGGTGGTGCGGGGAAGCGAGGTGGTGCACGCACACACCAGTCCCACTCTCCCTCACCCTCTCTCTTGCTCCTCCTGTCCCACCCTCTTCCCTCATCCTCCCCCCCCCCCCCCCCCCCCCCCCTGTCCCTCCTCCTTCTCCCATCCCCATCCCCTGCCCCAACCCCCCCTCCCCCCCCCCTCACAGAGTGGTGGCAGTGTTTGACGGCGAGTACAGTGTGCTCAACGTGGCCTCTCTGGGCGATGCAGGCGTGCGGGTGGTGCGGGGCAGCGAGGTGGTGCACAAGACCACGCCCCACGAGCACTTCTTCGACTGCCCCTTCCAGTTCGGCTCTGAAAGCTCCGACTCCGCTGATGACGCTGAGGTGAGAGTGGGAGTTGATGGAGGAGGGGGATGGGGAGAGGGAAGGGGGAAAGGGGAAAAGGGGAGGGGAGAAAAAGGGGAACAGAAGCGGGAAAAGTGGGAGACGGGGGGGAGGAAGGGGGAGTGGGCGAGAGGGACAGGAGGAGGGTGGTGAGAAGATGAGGCACGTGGGGTGCGCAGTCTGGTGCAGGAAGCGCATGTAATGTATTAGCCCCTGGCCAACCCTATGCCCCCCTCGCAGTGTGGATTTGGGAGCTCTGATTTCGCTGAGGGGAGGGGAGGTGCGAAAGCAGTGTGAACCAGAGGGACTGAGGGAAAGAAGAATTCAGTTTACAATCAGACCCGTACTTCCCTTTGCACTCGCTTCCCACCTCTCTCCCTGATCCCTCCCCCCTCTCCCCATTCTCCAATCTTCTCCCCCTCCCCATGTCCCATCCTTGGCTGAGCTTCAGCGTGCAGGAGGTACACAGTGGCCATTGCCAACAGCCTCGTGACTCACCTCCACTTTCTCGCCATCCTCCTTCCCCTCCCTCTCTCAATCTCTCTCTCAATCCCTCCTTCCCTTGCTCCCCATTCCCCCTCTCCCGTCAGGTGCTGAGCTTCAGTGTGCAGGAGGGCGACATGGTGGTCATGGCATCAGACGGTCGCTTGACTCAACCTCCCACTTTCTTCCCGTCTTCCCTCCCCTCGCCCCCTCCCTCCCTCGCCCCCCTCCCCCCCCCCCCCCCCCCCCCCCCCCCCCCCCCGCATCTCCCATCAGGTGCTGAGCTTCAGTGTGCAGGAGGGCGACACAGTGGTCATGGCATCAGACGGTCTATTCGACAACGTGTTTGACAAGGACATCGCCTCCATTGTCAAAGTCTTCTCCGGCCCCTCGCCCTCACACGTCTCCCGCACCGGTGAGCTTTCCTCCCTCGCACCGGTGAGCTCCATTTATGCTGATAAAGCCTCCCCTCCCCCGTACACGTTTCCCGCACCCGCGAATGAGCTAGCCTCCCCTGCGAACCTCTCACTGGTGAGAGCTTCATGCTGTTTAGGCTTCCCCTCCCCTCCCCTGCACACGTCTCCCGCACTGGTGAGCGTGCCTATGCATGCACCTTTTGCACCAATGAGCTGCTGCCAATCAGATCAGGCAGCCTCACTCACGGCATATGTGTTCACTCTGTGCTGCTCATAATCCCCTCACGTGCATAGAAGTCATGCCTTCGAATGTATCTTTCCACAAACCTAGCCCTTGCCACCTCCTGGATATACCCCGCTCTCATTTTCCCCTTGCGTCTCCCTGTCCCGCCCGCCCATCTTTCCCTCCACCCATTACCCTTTCTCCCATTTCCTCCTAACCTTGCTCTCCTTACTCGTCCCTGCCGCGCCCACCTCCTTTCTCCGCTGCAGCGACCGCGCTAGCAGCACTGGCAGCGAAGCATGCAGGCGACAAGGAGTACATGGCTCCGTACACCCTAGAGGCCCTTGAACACGTGAGTACAAGGCAACGAGGTATGTGAGTGCCACTTGTTTGATTAGGTGACTTAGTCGACTCAAAAGTCACCTCCCTAGAGGCTCTGGTACATGTGAGTACAAGACAACGCTTTTGTGATTAAGTCAGCTCCAGGGCGTTTCGAGGGCAACAAAACATGCAGGCGACAAGGAGTATATGGCCCCGTAAACATCGGGGCTTTCAAACATGTGAGCTCAAGGTTGCAAGGGCACTAAGGAAGCCGTTGAACACGCGAGTGCTGTCTTAAGGCTCTATGGTACCTGGGGGTGATTGCTCATGTGAGAGCGGTTGTTGTACATTTGTCTAGAGGTATTTTACACGTGTGCATGTATCATCCACTGCAACTGTCCTTAGCACGCCGCACTTTCACACGTGCACCAGTCACAGTCACCCTCTGTTTATTCCTTGCACGCATCCTCACTTATACCCCTTCCTTTCCCTCTTCAACCTCATCCTGCACTAACCTCCTCCTCACCCCCACTCCCCTCTCCCCCACTCCACCTTTCATTCCCGTACCCTAAACCTGCTACAGGGTCGGGATCTACCCGTGTGGCAGAAAATGATGGGGAAGAAGCTTTTGGGCGGCAAGCAGGATGACATCAGCGTGGTGGTTGCACGGGTTGTCACATCCGAGGTTCTCGCACAAGCCGTTTTGGAGCAAGGGCAGGAGAGTGAGACAGAGGAAGAGGAGACGGCCGTAGGGCAAGCAGCAGGGGAGACGGCAGCACAAGAGCAAGCAGAAGCGGCAGCTGCTTAGGAGGGGCACAAAGTAGGAACTTGATTAAATTTCAGTGCTTGGTTTGCAGGGAGAGGGTTGATTGCTTGTTTTTCTCCCTGCTGTTACTGTTACTTGGCCTCTTACTCCAACTGTACAGATGAGAAGGGGATGTGCTGGAGGTTGCTTGCTCTGCCTGTCCTACCGTACCATGCTTTCTTCTCTCCTGCTTGGATGTTATTGTGTGCTTCTCTGTCCATTTTCCCTGGCTTCCTGAGCACCTCTGCAAAGCCCGTGCACTAGCCACTACCTTATGAAAGAGCTCATCAAGAAACTTCAAATTAAGATGCATTTCGGTTAGTGATTGTAAGTCTGCCCCTAAAGAATACATCCTCCCTAACACAAGTTTGCCATAACTAGCTGTTACGAGTGCAATTGAGCGAGCGGGCGAGAATTCCACTATCGAAGCAAAACAATCCAATGAGCGAAGGCATGCGCGAATAATATATAGCGAACTAGAGTGGTAACGGTAACGCGAGGGATTGGGGTGTGCTACGGGCCTAGCGCCGAGGTTGAGATATGTCGAGGCGGAGGTCCGGAGCGCTGGTTACCAACCGAACCGTGAGGTTGGGTCGCATTGTGAACAGTGGCGGGAGTTGTAGTCAAGGCGAGTGTCGTGAGCGGGTAACGTTTCACTGTTTGGGTGCCGATGGCAGGAATGGTCTTGTACGCGGTAAGCAGGGGCGCGAAGTAAGGAAAAGGAATCTTCCTTACACTACCCCCCTCCCCAAGGAGGCCCTCCTTACGAGAGTGCGCGTACATCTCGAAAATCTCGATTGCGCAGATGCTCAGTGAGGACAGGGTGATTCTCAATTCTATCCAGGGGAACCCAACTATCTTTGGTGGGCGTGCGGTCTTTCCAGCGGATCAGGAATTCGATCCTGCGGGCTCCCCGTGGGTCACTTACTCGGTGGCTCAGTATTTTTTCGGGCGTGATGATTGGTTCTGTCGGCGGTCGTGTCATGCTGGCGGGGCGGTTGCGAGGCAGTTGGTTGGTGGATGGCTGTCAAACATATATGCTATAGTCTATCTAGGCTGTAGTGTGGTAGTTCATATAGGGTACAACACTTCTAGGTTTCCTACTTGTACCCACCTCTTTGCTACTTCAGTCATTCATTCCTTCAACATTCTGACATGGTATTCTGAGCAGGTTCCCTAGTGGGAACGTTTTTTTTTAGGGCCCACCACGATTTTTTTTTCCTGCCCTGCCCGAAGCGCGCCTCGCGCCTGTCTCACCTGCGCCGTCGCGCGCCCTGACCTAGTGCCGCCTGTCGCGGCCCTGCCTTCTCGGCCCGTAGTGGCCCTGCCTTCTCGGCCCGTCGCGGCCCGGCCTTCTCTGCACGTAGCCGCCAGTCGCCAGCCTGTTGCCGCCTATCGCCGGCCCGTCCCGGCCCGTCGCCGCCCGTCGCCGGCCCGTCGCCGCCCGTCGCTGGCCCGTCGCGGCCCTGCCTTCGCCGCCCGTCGCTGGCCCATCCCGGCCCGTCCCGGCCCGTCGCCGGCCTGTCCCGGCCCGTCGCCGCCCGTCGCCGGCTCGTTGCCGCCCGTCGCTGGCCCTTCGCCGCTCGTCGCGACCCTGCCTTCGCCGCCCGCTGCGGCCCTGCCCTGCTGCCGCCTTGTCGCGGCCCTGCCCTGCTGCCGCCCCAGTCGCGGCCCTGACCTAACCGCCAGCTGCGGCCCTGCCCTGCACCCGCCCCTGGTAAGCACCCGCGCCGCCCTGTCGCGCCGAGCCGCCAGGAGCTGAGCCGCGCCGCCCAGCCGAGCCGCGCCGCCCAGCCGAACCGTGCCGCCCAGCTGAGCCGCACTGCCCCGCCGAGCCGCGCCGCCCAGCCGAGCCGCGCCGCCCTGCCGAGCCGCGCCGCCCTATCGAGCCGCGCCGCCCTACCAAGCCGCGCCGCCCTACTGAGCCGCACTGCTCCTACTGCTACTGCTGCTTTTGCTGCCACTGCTGCTACTGCTGCTCCTGCTGCTACTGCCGCTATGGCTAGCCCTACTGTTCTTACCTTTGATGCTGAGGGGCGTGCAGTTGACTTTGATGTGTGGGTTGACGACCTGCAGCTCTTTCTTCAGTGTGACTCTAGGGACGGAGTATCCCTTTTCGATCACACGTCTGGTGTCTCTACAGCACCTGCTGCCACTTCTGACAGTACGGTTCGCTCGCAGTGGACCACTCGTGACGCTGTTGCTCGCCTTGCTGTTCGTAGTCACTTGCCGTCTGCTGAGTGCGCGCACTTTGGCCAGTACAAGACTGCTAAGTCTTTGTATGACGCTGTAGTAGCGCGCTACTCCTCCCCTGCCACTGCTGCCCTCAGCCGCCTCATGCTGCTGTACCTGTTCCCTGACCTTGCCGCCTTTGCCACAGTCGCTGACCTCATTACTCACCTCCGCACTAGTGACGCCCGCTACCGCGCTGCGCTTCCCACTGAGTTCTGTGCCAAGAACCCTCCCCCCATGTACATCACCCTTTACTACCTAGTCACCCGCCTCCCTGACTCCCTTGCTTCAGTCAGGGACCACTTTCTCTCCTTTTGCCCCACCGAGCTCACCGTCGACCTGCTAGAGGAGCGCCTCACTGCAGCTGAGAAGAGTATCTTAGCTGTAGGTGCTTCTCGCGGCGACCCTCGCGCCCCTTTCTTTGAGGGGTGTTCCCCTGTCCCCCTTCTCCCCTATGTTGCTTCTGCTGCGGCTGTTGACCTCGTTGGCACTGCGGAGGTCGGGGCTGCGTCTGCTCCTAGTGGGAGGCGCCGCAACAGCAAGGGCAAGGGGGGAAAGGGTGGTGGAGGGGACGGTGGGGGCGGCGGTGGAGGCGGTGGAGGAGGCGGAGGGGGTGGCGGTGGAGGTGGGGGTGGTGGCGGGAGTGGGGGCTTCGGTGGCGGCAGTGGGGGTGGTGGAGGCAGCGGCAACGGCGGTGGAGGCAGCGGCAGCGGTGGTGGAGGTGGCGGCGGCGGTGGTGCTGGTCGAGGTGGAGCCGCGCAGCGTGGAGGCTTTGGTGGCAGCCAGCGCCAGCAGCAGCCGCGTTCCCGTGAGACCCCGTCGGCCCAGCAGCTTCGTGAGTGGTACGCTGGGCGTGGGAGGTCTGGGGGTGTTGGTCCCTGCACTTACGTTCTTCGCACCGGCGGGCACCGTGGGGAGACGTGCGGGCTGCCACACACTGCGCAGCGCTGCTTCGGTCGCCTGACTGACGCCTGGCGCGCCCAGTTTCCTGACGCTGTTGAGCTCCCTCGCTGGGGTGATCTGCTTAAGCAGAACGTTGCTATCTTTGATCTTGATTTCTATGCTATCCTTGCTGCCATGTATGCTGTGACTGATAGTGCTGAGGGTGACTATTACCTGTGTGTTCCGCCCGACCCGGGCATTGAGGTTGCTGCTCTAGGTGCTAGTGAGTCTGCTGCTCCAGGTACTAGTGAGTCTGCTGCTCCAGGTGCCGGTGAGTCTGCTCTCTCTGGTACTGCACCTACTGAGGCCTTGCACACTTTCACACTTGACTCTGGTGCTTCGCGCTCCTTCTTTCGCGACAGCACCACACTCACGCCGCTTAGTCGGCCTGTCGCAGTCTCCCTAGCTGACCCCTCTGGGGGCCCAGTCCTTGCGCACTCCTCCACGGTTCTACCGTGTCCTGCGGCCCCGTCGGGCTTGCTGTCGGGACTCCACCTCCCCTCGTTCTCTACGAACTTGGTGAGTGGAGCTGACCTCCAGGACGAGTGGGTTGACCAGTTCACCCCTGGCGGTCAGCGTGTGACCCACTGCACTTGCTCTCGGACGGGCCGCCACCTGGCCACGTTCACCCGTCGGCCTGGGTCGAGTCTGTACACACTGACTACTTCGTCTCCTCCGGTTACTGCGTCTGGTCAGGTAGCCGCGTCTGGTCAGGTGTTTGCTGCCGCGTCCAGGTCTAGTCCAGCGTCGGCCCCCTGCTCGTGTCGTCCTCTATCACACGAGACTCTCCTTTGGCACCACCGCCTTGGTCATCCCTCCCTGCCTCGTCTTCGAGGTATGGCCTCCCGTACCCTTGTCTCTGGTCTCCCCAGGTCCCTCCCTCCCCTTCCTCCGGGGTTTGCCCCTACCTGTATTCCTTGTGTCGAGGGCCGGCAGCGAGCCGCTCCTCACTCCTCCGAGTTCCCTCCAACAGAGGCTCCCCTGCAGACTCTTCACATGGACGTGTGGGGCCCAGCCCGCGTCCGTTGACAGGGTCACGAGCGTCACTTCCTGCTGGTCGTTGACGACTACTCGCGTTACACCACAGTCTTCCCCTTGCGCCGCATGGGTGAGGTCACTGAGGTGTTGATCATTTGGATCCGCGGTGCCCGTCGCCAGCTCAGCGAGAGTTTCGGCTCGGACCTTCCTGTTCTGCGCCAGCACTCAGACAGAGGTGGTGAGTTTTCCTCCGACCTTCTGAGGGCCTTCTGTTGTGCGGAGGGCATCCGCCAGACGTTCACGCTTCCGGCCTCCCCACAGCAAAATGGGATTGCTGAGCGCCGCATTGGCATGGTCATGGATGTTTCTCGTACGTCCATGATCCATGCGGCTGCTCCCCATTTTCTGTGGAAGTTCGCAATTCAGTACGCTGCGCATCAGATCAACCTTCAGCCTCGTGTCTCCTTGCCGGAGACCACACCTACTCTACGGTGGACGGAGAAGGTTGGCGATGCGTCTGTATTCCGTGTCTGGGGATCTCGAGCTTTTGTCCGCGATGCTTCCGCGGACAAGCTGTCCTCCCGTGACATTCCCTGCGTCTTCCTTGGCTTCCCCCCTGACGCACCAGGGTGGCAGTTTTACCACCCCACCTCGAGTCGTGTTCTGTCCTCTCAGGACGTCACGTTTGACGAGTCGGTATCTTACTACTGCTCTTTCCCTACCGCACTGCCCCTCTCCCCCCCCCGCCACTCTTCCTAGCATCAGGTGCTCCTCCGGTAGACCCCCTCCCTCCTCAGGGTCCTGCCCCCTCAGGTGTGTCCCAGGTACACCCTGTCGAGCCTGTCAAGGTA